ATGGGAATTATAGCAGACTCAACAGAGCCCAATCCTGAAAGGTCCTGAGTGATGGTAAACCATCTCAATCCCCACTGACTTCGCTTGCAGTACTTCTCGAATACAGCAAACCTTCGTAGCCTTGCCCAACCCGGGCTGCGGGTGCTAAGTCTCAAGGTTCCACTTCAGAGCTATCTTCTCCTTCTTTTGTCCATCCCTGTGCTTGCTGGATGCTGGCAGCATGCTTAGCACCACATGGAACATGGAGAGGGAGTGGTCCTTATTTCAAGGGGCACTGCCTTCAAAGCACCATCCCCTTTGTTGGCCTTCCCAACTTAGCAGAAACCAGATTCTGACCTTCCAGAATCTCTCCCGCATGGAGTTGTATTGCCCTGATGGAAGTCCAGTGGGGTTACAGTTGTCTAAGCAACTTCTTCTGGATGGAATTGTGTGGAGAAGTTTAAAGCAATCCACTCTCCAGCTTTTGAAATCTCTGTTCCGGCTTTTGGCACCATCTCTGTGTCTATCTCTGATCTGCAGTTGAGCGAACATTTTACTCTGCTGCCTTTGTTCTCTTTAAAGCCCTTGGCCACTTCATGGTAGGAACGCCTCGTGTCTGGATGAAGTTCACTGTATTCACTTTTCTCCTGAGCTTATATCTCCTTTGGCTGAATCAGGTGCTGAAATAATTGGCAAATATTGGGCGTCTTTAATTATCATTAGCAAATTGTTGAGAACAGAGCAGACACTTGAGGCTCTGGTCTTCCCGAACCATTAAAACTGAGTAGAAAAGGCTGTTTGTGTCAGTTGCACAAATTTGTTTGTTTTCAGGCTTTGAAACTGTAAGGAAAATATCCCAGCCAGGCTTGGCAGTTGCCATAGCATCACGCAGACCCCGGGATATATGATTAATGAACAGTTGTTCTGGGTCCTACAGGGAGCTAAAACCTGAAACTCACCATCTGAAAGGAAAAGCCAGATGAACAAGATGAAAATAAGCACCCAGTACCCCTGCCTTTCCCGTGATCTATCCAGCAGAAATAGTTACCATATGATCTTAGTGTCTGTTGTCTTCAGCGGTATGTGCTCGACCAATCCTTTGTAGTATTTCACTAATACTATTTCATGTCATATATTGAGGAATATCCAGGAATAGGGGAAACTGTTCAGCTCACGGCAGCAAACACAAGCCTTCACCCACATCACCACAACTTGATTCCAAAGATAAGTTGATGTACACAAAATAAATTAATTATATGGACATCTCATAGGAATTGCTGTAGTGCATAAGACAAGTGATCCAAGTAGACAACAGAGACTAGTAGCAAATACTTCAGAAGAAAGAACAAGAAATTCCCAGTTATGGAATAACCTGATAATAGAGGAGGTTTCTTTCTAACCTCAGGCAACTGGGGCTTAGCTTGTGCCCGGACCTATAAGGGTTTATATCCCTCGAAAATATTGATCCTTATTCTGTCTAATAGAACTTTGAGTTTTCTTATTACTCATATAAATGTGTAACCTTTTTCTGAATCCTGCCAAATTCTTGGCCTCAATATCTTGTGGCTGTGACTTCCACAGGTTAATTTCCAAGAATCCATCTCTCACCCTCTCAATGAGTGTGTGAATGTAGAGAGAGAATGTGGTAAGATGGCTAGTGAAAGACTGGAAAGCAGTACTCCTGGGTTTTGTTGCAGCTGTGTCACTGACTCACTTTGTGGCCTTAGCAAAGTTATTTAATGTCTCTGTGCCTCAGATGAAACATTTGTAAAATAGTTATATGATATGATTTATGCCTCACAGGTGTTATTGCAAGTAGAGATGTGGGAAACACATTCCTTGCACTTTTCAGGGAGTCATGTGGCCATTTCCTTTGGTTTCAATGGGATTCTCATACTGAATTTTTCAATTACATTTTGGATTCAAATGAATGCAAAATCTGAAAGTGGAGCTCAGCCAAACATGTCAAATCTCTCCTTCTTTTGCATCACAGTCAGATGAAAGCTTGAATATTGCAGTGCTGGTATTTTGATGTAAAGCTATAAACTAACCCCAAGTTTGCTTGAAAATTTGGTGATGCTTAGCAAATCTTTAGACTAACTTGGCCTGAATTTCAAGCTTGTCATGAAGGCCAGTACATGTTTGTATGGTTTCTGACTGTGTCACTGTGAACATGTTACACAGCTGTCAATGGTGCTCAAATGTAGTGGTGATGGGTACCTACATACCATGTAAGTACCTGTTATACCATAGGCTGTACGGCTTAATGAATGGCTAGGCAGGGCTCCCAGACTCTCAGGTAAAGCGTCCGATATTTATACCAGTATTATATTGTATGGAGATGACTAGTGTACATGGGTGTGTAGCAGAGTGCAGGGAGGTAATGGATGAGCCTGCAACCTGATCACTCAGAAGCCAGTTAGTTCCCAGAGGTAGCTGATTGGGGTAATTCAATAATCAGGCTGGTAGGATGGTAGTGGTCTTTTTGGAAAGAACTCAAAATAAAGGGCTCCGTGAATGCACAACTAATGGAGTTTGCCCAGTTCCTGTGGGGCAAGAAGACAGGCATGGAGGTGCGCCATGTTCCAGGAGACCACTACCTTCTTTTGGATGGAATAAACTCAGCTGTGTATTATAGGGTTTATTCTGCTAAATGTTAATGGTGGTAATTTCCCAATACTTCAAGTGGTAGGGGGCTGTATTTTTGGAATACAAGATCCTAGAAACTATCTTCTCTATCACTATGAAGTTCCACATGGTTATGGAATTGTTATTATTTATCCATATTATAATGGATAGCACCCGTGAGACTTTCCTTTTACAGCCCTATACTTGGGATTGGCAGAATTTGGTTTGTATTTTTAATATTCTTGACAGATAATATCAATGTTTATTTTTAAGCATTTTTTCAGTTTTGATTGATTGAAATTTTCCTAGTTCTGGGACATTATGGGGGGGTGGGGTGTAAATCAATAATTATTTAATGAGATTCAAAAAGTTAAAGCTTTATTACCATCAAACCACAAATTGTCCACATCACATGTCAAAATATATGAGAAGTAAATATCCTTAAATCAAACTCTAATAATTTCTCAAACAGCGTTATTCTTACTTAGGCTATCTGTAAATTTCTATTATTATACATGGAATATTTTTTCATCCATTTATGTGTATATGGTGAAATGGACAAATCTAATCCTTACTTACTTACCTCTATTGTAATTCTGTTGTGTTGAAATTTCATGTGACCAGATGTGTTTATGCTATTTTGGTTCCAGGGTAGAATGACCATGAAAAGTAGCTGATCTCTACCATCCATGGGCTGAAACAATATGAAAACCATGAATCTCCTGAAGTTACATGTCATCTGAGAAAGAGACTTGGATTTATGATGACAATTTAACTACTCCTACCAGTTATGAACCAAAATATTTGTGTGAAAAAGGACATATTCACACTTGAGAGCAAACAAATTTGTATCTTTTTATCAACTCAGATCTTCTCAAGATGTAAATATTCATATAAATAATATCTACCCTCTTCACATAGACTGTCAGATGAGTGAATAATATTGTGACTGGCAAAGTTCCCAGGACAATGGAATTAGCAGCAATATCTGAGAAGGCAGATTGGGGAGGAATCTAAAGTATAAGGAAATAAACCTGTGAGTGGCCCTAGGCCCATATTTTAGCTGATTTGTGGATTTTCAATCACAGTTACAGGAAGCGCATAACTTCATACAGTTTTGCTGTGAAAATAGTTGAAACTGTTTTATTTGCTTCAATTTTGGGGTTTATTCAGTGGAACCAAAAACTCAAAGCAACATTCAGGAGCAGGGGGAATATACAGGCAGAACAGGAGATGAATCAACATGTTCTCTCTCTCTGTCTAGCTCTGTAGACAGCCCCGTCATTGCAGTGTAGGTTTGCATGCACCCTAGTGGAGTTCTGCACAGCTCTGCTTATCACTCTGCCCTGGAGTCCTTCCTCTTTGAGTTCCCCTAATCAATTTTTTCTGCCTTCATTTTTTTTTAAAGGAGACTGCAATTCCCTTTTAATTGCTTGCTTGTCCTGGTTTCCCCTCATCCCCCTTCAAGGTTTCACGGGGCCAGCTCTCATCTCTAATTTTCTAATTATCTCTCATCTCTAATTTTCACTGGTACCGACTGGAAAGAATGACATTTTCTGCTTGGATGCAAACCAGTCACTTGCCCAAATCCCACTGAAAGAGCTCAATTTGCTCAACTAGTCAGTATTCCGTCTCCGTTAAAGACTCCCAGACTCAAACTTGGACTTAGTCTTTTGACTCACGTTTCCCCTTCACCCCTGTTCCCAAGCCCCACTCAGACGTCCCAAAGCATTCTCTCCGCCACCTTTTTCCATTACCATGCACTCTCGTTACCCGCAGCTGGGGGGGAAGCGAGACAAAACAAAATAAAACCCCTCTCACCTAAATAAATAAATAAATGCACCGAGAGAACAGGCTGCTAGTTCATTTAGTGCAGCCTTTCCCTGAAGGCATGAGGTAATGCCAAGCTATTCAGAGTGTGATGCAACTGGCTGATGGACATTCAGAGAATCCTGGCTGTGGCAGAGTTTACCCAAGCTAGATCTGGCAGTGAAGACCGATCTCTCACATAAGAGGCTATTTAAAGCCACAATGAGGTTCATTTTTGATGTTTCCATTCAGGCGAGTATTTAATTGCTCATTGACAAACCACCTAGACAATTTGTGTGTGTGTGTGTGTGTATGTGAGTGTGTTCCCTAGATATACCATTTTTGTTCACTTGTCTTACTCCTTCCATGCAGAACCTTGCTGCCCCAGACAATATCAGTAGAACTGGATCTCTCCTCTCACCATCAGTGTTCAGCAAAAGGGTCTTGAACTGAGATTATGAGGTGTGAATTGCAATGAGTTCCCTCTGAGCGTCTCACCTGTGACAGCTCAGAGAGAAGTTCCCCTATGTTTTCCCCCCTCCAAATCAGCTAACTTCATCCAGCATGTTTTCCTCTTTCCTCAGGTACTCACACCAGTGGTTGTATTTAGAAGACACATCTTAGATAACGTATTGTGTGCAGAAGCTCTGATCAGAACCCCAGGTTCAGCATGGTAAGCCACTGTGTTGATGGTCTGTGTCATATCGCTATCTGGCTTGAACAGGAAATATATACACAAAGATTAGAAACTGAGGCAGAGAGAGGCTAAGTGGCTTGTCCCAGAGGAAGTTTTTGGCAGAGCTGGGAATAGTATCTGCACCTCATGACCCATAGTCCTGTGCCTTAATCCTCCAGAAAGGGGAGTGCTTAAAAATTCCACACACCCCCGATCCACATTTACATAATTTTATTCCTCTCTGCCCTCTGTGCAATTCTCTGTTTAATTCTCACCTACCTCACAGGGAGGTTGGGAAATTTAATCAGTTAGGCCCCTACGCAAACAAGCTCTCACATGCTTAAGTTTCACTGAAGTCATGTCTTGACCACATGCTTAAGTGCTTTGGTGAATTGGGAGCCTTGGTGTCTGCTGAGCATTCTGAGACCCTTGAATGGAAGGTGCTCTGTGCCAGTCAGTGAAACGTGGTGCTGGTCTACACACAGCTTTCTTTAATGAGAATGGTTCTAGAATCAAGGACTCCTGTGATCATCTAGCCTGACCTCCCCCTGCATAACATAGGCCACAGAACATCCCCAGAATAATTCCTGTGTGAACTGGAACCTCTCTTCTAGGAAAATATCCAGTCTTGATTTACAAATGGGCAGTGATGGAGAACCCATCAAAAGTCTTTGAATCATCCCTTCAGAGCTGTCTGGTAACCATGGTCAGTAGCAGGGAGCCAGTATTTTCAATGGCCGGAGCACCAAAGTATTAGTCAGAAGATCTGGGCTCTATTCCCAGCACATCCATTTGCTTCCTGGTGTGAGCTGGGACAAATCACTTCCTGCACCTCAATTTCCCCAGCTGTAAAATGGCAACAACAATGCTTGTCTTCCTTTGAGGAGCGCTCTGATACCTGTTGATGCAAAACTCTGTGTGAGGAGTACAGGTTATTATTGCTTCCAGCAGCAGAGTGATTATGCCCAGCAGGTGACTGCTGCTGCTTATTGTCAGTATGGATTGGGTCCTGGAAAGGAATCAAATGAACTCCCAGATGCTGATGTTAAATTCACAGTATTCCCGCTCTCTGCAACTCCCTCCCCTCACTGCACAGCTTCCGATTCTCTTTGCTTAAGTGTTAATTAACAAATAAGCCAATCCACAACCACTTAAACGACCGGCTACTGGCACACTTGTCCCACTCCCTATAACAGTAAACTACAAATCTAGATCATTTTTTTTTTAACAAGGATTGCTTTTGGTGAATCTGTCGACATTGAACAATACAGAACCAGCCCTCCATGTCCGGCTGCTTCTGCTGAATTAATGTGTAAAGGCAGTGACTGCAGTAACATGCTGGTGGTGCGTTACACTTCCATACCATTTTGTGGCATGACCAGAGTCCAGGACAAGACAAGAGCATTGATGAGGGAGCGAGCCAGTATACACGATTAGTTTAATCCTCTCTCACAATCCTCCGATGGGAAGTGGGGGTGGGACACAATAACCTAGTGCCAGGGTTTAGTTTGTCCACAAGTTCAGCTTGAATAGAGAGGAGAAGAAGGAAGGAAAAAAATGGGAAAAAAAACCCTTCTAGAGTTCATTGGGTCTGGAGTGATGCCAAGCCCTGGGGGCGGCTCACAAATGAGAAGGGAAGAAAAGGGGGGAAAGGAGAGCAGAATGATGATTAGAAATCACAAATGAAAGAAGCCCAAAGAGAGGGAAAAAATCTGCATCTCTGAATATGTGCAGGAAGGGGAAAAAAATATTGCTCGCCTTTTCTAAGGGCCCCATTCATCCGCGGATAGGCTAATGGCGCTGCCAAAGCCAGGGAGCACCCTGGGCAACTCTCTCTCCTGACCCCCTGGGAGGCACCTATGAGCCGAATCTCAATGCAGGAGGCAAAACTGTCTCCCTCCTAGGGCCACAGGCCCTTCTTTTGCAGATGTCTCTGGCTTTCTGCAGGACTTCTGCCTCAATCTCCACCCCAGCCCTCGTCACGCTGCAGCCCCTCAGCACCTGCCTGCTCCTCCATGGCTATGGGAACACTGAGATTACGAAAGGAAATTCACTGAGCAGGTTTACGGCACAGAATCCTGAAATGTGGAGATGGGAAAGACCCATTAGGTCATCTAGTCCTTCTCCCTGTCAGGACAGGTTTAGTCCTGTGACCCAAAGAGCCCTTCATGCCCAATGGCATACCATTGCGTATGCTGTTTCTCATCAGACCCAACCGACTCACTATACACAACACTCTGTCATCAGGGAATTTATCCCAAAGGTATTGTGTCAGGTACCACGCTGGTGATTAATATTGTAAAAAACACACGTTAATGTTCTATGTGCAGTTCTGAATTCCCTTGGGAGGATGTTACTAATCCATGGTTAAGACCAGACAACCTAGCCTAGATAAAAGTGATAAGCAGCTCTGTCCTCGACAAAGGAATGTGAGTTTATCTCAATTTACATATTGGCTTTAAACAAAGCCATGGGGTTATCCTGATCCTGAACTCGAGAGACACAGAATTAACATGGCTCCTGCACCCCAGAAAGCCCCAGGAGACTGAATCCTCAGACGCCCTTCCTGACTTGTGAGACAAAGACAATCCCTTTGGAGATATACGGAACACAGATTCTTTCTTAATCCTTCACTTGAGGAGACCCAGAAACCAAGCAATTTGATCTCTGGGATGGATCCTGGCTAATGAAAGCTGGAAAGGTGACTGGGGACAAGAGAAACCATCTTGAACAAAGATGGTATCTTGCTAAATTAAGCTCCAGTCTTTTAGATGGGCATTTTCACTTTTATTGGCTTGTAACCATTCTACCTGTATCGCTTTTACTTGGTGTCACTTAATCGGTGTTGTTCTGTTAATCAGCTGGGTTTGCTTTCATTATAAATCATCAGCGTTGTGTAAGTTCAGTGACCCGTGTGCTTCTAGAAAGCTGACAGGTCGGAGTGTTCTACTGTCCCTATAGAGGAAGTGAACTTGACACCTTAGCTGTGAGGGTCCAGTGACGGGGCCTAGTCTCTACAGTAGGATGATTTGGGGGTGAATTCAGGGCTGGAAGCAGGAGCGCTGGAACAGATGGGGCCAAGGCCCTCCCACTTTTTGAAAGTGGACAGACCTGACCCATCCACTTTTTGCCACAGGTCCCTGAGACCCCGTCCCCCAGCCAGGCCAGCAGCTGTAGAGAGCCACGGACTCTCCACTTGCCCTGGATGGAGGGTCTGGTGGCCGGGGACATGGGCTGAGGGCTGCTCTTGGGCCCCCACAACCCAGAGAGGTGGCAGGTCCACAGCTCCCTGGTCTAGCTCCAGCTTCTGATTTGGCTAGGGGCAGGGCCAGGAGGGAAGAGGGGGGACAGGGGCAGGGCCATAGAGGGGGAAGCCCCCCCCCGCCCCGGCTGGAAGGGTACTTAGGTCACTGTGCCAGGAGTAACCAGGTTGGGCAAAGCCAGGGTGAGGTTTCTGGGCATCAGAGCTCTGGACCACAGCTGCCATAACCACAGCCCCCCTGGGCTTACAAGGCAGATGGTGACCGAACCCCTTGCTTGCCTGGGGGAACCACAAACCATCACAGTTCCCCACTAGAGATGGATGGGAACCAACCAACCCTCCCAGGTCTGAATACACCTGCACTTTGGGGAAATCTGAAATCCAAACCCAGGTCCAGTTCCAAATTTTGCGAGCAGTCCTGGCCTTTATGATAAGCCAAACCAAACCGCTAGATCCAAACTTCCCCCTACTTTGTGACATTAGAAATCCAGATCTAGAGGCTACTTTTGCACCATGAGCCCATCTCTACCCCCTCCCGTACATTTTGGGGGTTCTTTATCCAGTCTCGTGTTAAATGCCACGAGGCATCCACGGCTTCCTCAGGAGACCGTTCCCCATTCTAAGAAAGCTCTCACTGCCAGGAAGTTTCTTACTGTGGCTCAGGGCTCTTGGAGGTGAGATGGCAGCATGCCAGCTACCCAAGGATTGAAGAGAGCCCTAGACAGGCAATGGCTTTGAAATAAACTAATAATGGCAGTACAGTGCCCTCAAGGGTGTATTGCCCTCTGCCAGGCTGAGAAAGAACCACTTGTGATCCTTTCTTCCTCCCATCAAATGGGGGAGAGATCCCTTATTATACCAGCTGGGGCCACAAACTTGGCTTGTGAGCTATAACGGGGGGGAGGGGCAGACAAACCAGTTTTTAGCTTTACAATTGTTATTTAGCTGGCTGGCTGGCTGTGAAGTTCTGATGGGGAAGTGGTTAGCTGGCAAGAAATGCTCGCTGATGAGGTACGTCTCTGCACAGCCCTTACACTGCACTCCTTCCCTTGCAGCTGCGGGCCTCAGTACCCTTGCTCAGGCCCCTGTTACCTGCAGATTAGATCATTGCAAAACCACCACTGCAAACTATTCAGAGGCTATTTCAGCCAGAGCAGAAGAAACAATGCTTCCTGCCTGCTTCTCCTTATAATAGCAGCTTGCCTCTTCCCTCGCCAGGCACAGCCTCCCTTGTTCTGGGAGGGTAGTTTAACCCTTCAGACAAACTGAAAACTCCACCTCTTCTGGGATAAATGAAAGTCCACATGAAACAAAAAGTCTTCAGCAGATAGAGCCCTGAGCCCTGTCTCATCCTCTCTGGGCCTCAGCCTCTCTCTAGGGCCTGGAGCAAGGGTTCACAAAGTCCTCTCTGGGCCAAAGCTCTCGCTCCAGGGACTGTTTGACTTTCTCCCGTTCCCTCAGCAGTTCACCACCATAACTGAAGGGATATAGAACACTAAGTAGCTTCTCTGCGGAGGTAAGGGACCTTGGCCTTCCATCTGCTGCAAGTGCTAACCAAGGGGCCCTAGACAATAAAGCAGGCATCTCCTCTGATCTCAGATAGTCCCAGTGTCACTGACTGGTCCTGTGCGGGGAGTCAGGTTCAGCCTTGCTTTAGTGTAGCAGTAATACTCCAGCTCGTCTTGATCTGGGAGTTAATTACAGCTAGGGATCCCAGCTGTGAGAGACTCAGGGA